TCTGCCCCCACCTCCCTTGCCCTCCCCATCTCATCCCCTGCCCTTGTGCATCAGCCTCTAACCCTTCCCACACCACATCTCAGCTCATGTGCTTGCTTCCTAGTTCACTGGAAACACAACAGTCTGAGGGCTTCTCCACCGCCCTGCTTCCTCACCTGCCAGCCCAAGTGCACTCTCAGCCCCTCCGCCATTTCCCGCTGAGATCAACAGACGGGGACTCCCAGCATTCTGGATTCCACTTTCCCTCATCCATCCAGAACATCTCTCCAGGACACGCTGCCTACGTCATCTGCTCATCCCTGCTTCCTGGACTACCACACAGGCTGTAGTCTCCCTCCTGCCCCTTCACCTCCCTCCTGCCACTGCCCCACTTCTCTGCCTTGCTTTGCTGCAAAATTCTGAAAAGAAGAGCTGCCCACAGGTGCTTACCATGAACCCCTCCTCCATTCCCTCCTCTTGCTTCTATTTAGGAAGAGCTCTTCCTTCCTGAAACACCATCCACTTTCCTCTTTGGGTTCTCCACCCACCTCACTGGCCAGTCCCAATCTACAAACTCTGGTCCCTGGGCTCAGTCATGGGCAGCTTCCCCAGGGATCCTAACTATTCTTGGACTCTAAAGACCATCGATACACCTGTGTCCTGCACTGACACCCCCAGCCACCGCCTCCCCAAATATGTAGATGGCTCACCCCTCATGCCCTTCCAAACTCACCGTCTCACTGGGGGCCTCTCTACGCATCCTACATGGAGCAGCAGCCTCCCAGCCCACACTCCACACTCCTAACTCCCTTCCGGTGCGGGAAATTGAAGCACGGCCTTTCCATTTACGGAGTGACCTTCATGGCATACCTCCCCCCAGGCACTGTGATGTAGCCATGAAGAACACAGGTCAAGACGTGCCCTTGCCAAGCATATATCGAGGGGCAGGAGTGGTGGGGGGCACACTAAACATCACACGTAATGAAGTGTGAATGTTCTAGGAAATCTATGTACACCAAGAAGAAACAGAGGAGGGCTGGGGATACGGTGTCCCCCAGCATCTTGGCCACAGGGCAGGGGATCAGCAGTCTTGTTCATTCCTGTGTCCTCAGCACCTGGCAGAGGCTCAGCAAAGTTTCAATAAATGAGAAATTAACCAATGATGATTAGCAGAGAAAGTGTCAGAAGATGTCAGCTCAAGTGGCAGAGGCACGGACGAGGGGCATACGGAGGGCCTGTGGGCAGGACAGCCCCTCAGCACATTCCCGTGGAGCTAGGACTAGGTGCTATGCTCCCTAATGCCAGGGGTAGACCTAGGCTTGGGGATAAGGGGCTTCCCTGAGGCATGGGTGGGGACCCCATTCCACTCAAGTCTCCTCCTATGACCTGCACACCAGCCTCAGAAGCAGAAGGGACCCCAGCAGGCCTCTAGGGACAAGTCAGGCTTCACCAAGCAACGTGGCCTCCCCAGCCAGAGCCCTTCCCCTCCCCACCAGGGGCCTCCAGCCCTCTGAGCCCCAATTAAGTAAACCCTAATTAAAAACAACAAAGTAATGAGAAGTAATGCCCCTCCCATGGCTATCCACAGGGACCTCAGCTCAGGAGGGGCTCGGTTAGAGCACCTCCCTGGCTTCCCCACTGGTTAGCACTCACACCGAAATGACCTGGGACCTCCTTCTACCACATACCCACATGCACACACACCCAGGCTCACAAGCCCCCATGAGCCACAAGCAGGAGCACCTGAGCGGGTTCCCTGCATGACTCTGGGCCCACACGTGAGCCCCTAGGGGACACAGGTCACCGTCCCCACCTGAGACACCTCTGGCAATGATGTGCAGAGAGAGGGAGCCTGGAAACTACTAGTGCCAACTCCTGGCCCTCCTCCTACAGACACAGAGAGCAGAGACTCTGTGACCCAGAACAAGGCCAAAAACAGAAAGAAAAGAAGGAAGAATGAGAGAGAAAAAGCGAAAAGGCTTTTCTCTTTCTTTCTCTTTGTTTCTCAGAGAAACAAAGGCATCAAGAGTGAAAGAAATAGTGACAGAGAAGACAAAGAAGTCAGAGAAGGCCAGAAATGCAGAGACGAGGACCACGAAAGTAAGGGAAGGAAGAAAAGAGAGACAGAGACACAGAGAAACCAGGGTTGGGGGGTGGGGTGTGAGACGGAGGAGAGAAGTACACGGGAAAGATGAGAGAGTGAGAGATGAGGAAACAGAAACAGAAAGAAGAGATGGACAAAGTAGGGGTCTCCAAGGCCAGGGGCCAGAATTAAGGTCTCAGGACCCTTGGGACCCTCTCACTAGGGCTCTCAGGAAGGTGAGTCCATCCTCCTCTGTCTTGTGACCTCCCCTTGAGAAGTCTCTCCCAGCCCTCACTGAGGGAATGGCTCCCTGGACCTGGAACCAGGACGAGCTTATCAGAAGACCACGGGTCCTGCCAAGGAGTAGATGGAGGTTCCTCTGCCTCCCTGCCTTGTTCCTAGAAACCCAGACACTCAGCACCATGGACAGCAGACTGGGAGGCAGGGTCCTGCCACCCAGCGGGCTCCCGCAGGCCGAGCACAGAGCACTGTCACTTCAGTAACCCATTAATTCAGCAGACACTCTCTGACCTCTCCTGGGGGCCCGCCCCAAGCTAGGCTCTGGGGACACCCTGAAAAATAAGACACCGTTCTTGTCTTCAGGGGCTCACGTCTAGAGGGAGGGAGCAATGTAAACAGCCAGTGATGCTCCCAGACACCCTGCCCAGTGCCCGGTGGACCACGGGGAGCGCCCCGCCCTCTGAGGGCCACGTTCACCACCAGCACCCCCACCAGCATCATCAGTGGGACCGAGAGTCTTGCTTGGTCACCCAGAGGCTATTTAGCCAAGTTCATGTCTTCTCACACACAGGGAGCCCGTGGAGGCTTGAGCCCCAGATCTGGGGCTTCCGTGGTCACCTCCTCCCTCCTCTGCCTTCAGCCTAAACCACCTCTGCACAGGTGGTCACCTGCACCAAGGCAGGTTAGGGGTCGCTGGGCAGGGTGGAGGCCTTGGCCACAATCACCCTTCCTTGGGAAGGAGTGTTCTGGGCAACAGTAGGGCCTCCCTCCTCCTCTCTGATTGGGGCTCTGAGCCTCTCTGGGACCACAAGGCCCCAGGGAAGAAGAGACTGCAGTCCCTGGCCTGGGGCGGGGCCTCTGGGGCCTGGGCTATGCAAACAGGTCCTGTGGAGCAAATTCCCTAAGCTCTCACCCACCCCACTCCCAGAGCAGCCTAGCTCCAGCCTTCAGCCCGCTGGCCAGAGAAGCAGGGCAAGGGCCCTACTGTCAGGCAGTCGGAAAGACCGAAAGACCTAGCCTCCAAAGGTGAGGGGCTCAGTGACGACGAGCAGGGTGCTCTGCCTGCAACCCACCCCAGCCCACCCCCAAATCAACTTCGAATCACAAATTGTCAATTACCAGGGCCCATTTGAGGAGGACAGTGGTGGGCAGGACACACTGATTAAGCACCTTCCTGGAGCCAGAAACCGTGGAAACACACAACGTTCAC